ACACCCTTATGGAAAGTCGTATTTGGTTCATGCTGCTCGGTGATAGTTCACACTGCTCAACAACTGCTCGCAACTGCTCGACAACTCATCACGGTGGTCAGACCATGAGTTTGACTGCTCGGCCGTGTTCGCACTTGCTCGAACAAGCTCAAGACGGCATTGCACAATGGATACAAGGCGCTCGGGGACTAGCTGTGGGGGGTACAACCTCGGATACCCACGGCAGACCACATGGGTTGCGCCCTCGGGGTGCCCAGCCCACAGGACGAAGCCTTGTGGGGCACGACTCTGCTCGGCGCCTCCCGCAAGACATATCTTGAAGATACTACGAGATCTGTTAGGATATGTATGATCCCAAGATTCCTATAATCAGTTATTACCTTCCAGTTATCTCTCAGATCTAACCAACTTGTAACCCCTACTCCTCGGACTATATAAGGCGGGCGGGACCCCCTCCAAACTCACGCAATATCATATGATAGCTAATACAAACCAACAAACCACAGGAGTAGGGTATTATGTCATACTGACGGCCTGAACCTGTCTAACTCGTGTGTCTCTATTGCCTTCTTGTTCTTGATCTCACGCTTCTCTGCCGATCAATCTACCTTCGTGGGATACCCCTTGGAGGACTGTCGACGATATTCTGTCGACACCTCCCCATCTGCAGCACCGAGCACCCTCTGGGCTCCGGCAACCAGCCCTCCTCCTCTGCTCGACAGCTTCAAGCAAGGTGAGCATAGCAGATGCAGAGCACCCTAGATTCACTCCTTAGTTAACTATTGAAAATTTGTTTTTCTAATTCTTTTGATTGTATTCTTCATTCTTATAATGTAGATGAAGAAGAAGGGTGTTAGCATATTTGCATTGTGGGAGAAAGCTACAAAGGCAAAAAAAACCCTCCACATCCGCATCAAATGTTCGTTCTGTTGACATTGAGAGTAATATTTCTTAATTATTTATGTTTCAAACTTGTACTTTGGTTATTACTATGGATTTGTTTAAATGTTATGACTATTATAACTTATCATCAATCATATTGCATATTTGCTTCGAAATTTTGTACATTTATCATACACAGCCGTAAATTCCTGGATCCGTCACTGGGTGTGGATACACCCAGCCTTGTCCACACCCAAACCCAAGTCTCAGTTTATCCATTCCTCACCCTCCCCCATTTTAACCCAAATCCACATGCCCAAATCTAGTGGATAACAGTAATCCAATGGATAACAACAGAGAAGATAAGGATGTGGCGGAGGAACAGGCAGAGGTGGAGTTGCTCCGCTAGGAGTGCCTGCGCTGCATGCTGGAGGAGATGGATGCTGCAGATGGCCGAGATGTGGTCTCATGGCAAGCAGAACGAGAACGACGACCATCATCAATTGGATGTGGACTTGCGTTCAGAACACCGCCACCGTGCTTGCTGCCTCCATGGGCGGGTACTGCAACTTGGGTAGGCTGTAGGCGTCGCAGATGGTGCCTGACTCACCGTGCGAGGAGCCGCGGACGGTGCGAGACTCACCGTGGACCGTGCGAGGAGCCGCGGGTGGTGCGGGAGTCGCCATGCCAGGAGACGAGGTGCTGGAGGCCTGGAGCAGGTCGAAGCGCTCTAGAAGTAGGACCCGTGCGCTACGTCCGGTGGTGGCATGCGTCGTGCAGCTGCTCACACCCGCACCTACGAGGCCGCGGCTGAGCTGCTGGTTCCCGTGCTCACGAACGGGAGGGAGCGCTAAGGCTACTACCAGACAGGGAGGGACCGCAGCGCAGCTGCTCAGCTGGAGGTGGAAGATGAAGCTAACGAGTGGGTCCCACCTAGCAATGACAGGAGCTGCAGGCCCCTGCTGTCGGAGAGGGGGGAGAGAGGGGCAGGAAGGACTTTTGACATGCCCTAGCTGACTGGGCACCAACGTGTCAGGCTGACGCGGCGTGCCACATGCGCAAAGATGGCAAATCCGATGTTAAAACTTCTCTCATCTAGTAAATTTGTAATTGTCATCCTAAGGATGATATTTGGACGAGTAACGAGGTAAATATGTAAATTTCCCATTCTTTTCGGATGTGGGCGCAATATTAATTCGGCGTGGGGACCGTGCCAGGTGAAGCGCTTCTACACATGTGAGCGGTGTTGCCGCTAAACAGGCGTGGGGCAGTGCGTATGGCACATAGGGGCACAGAGAGAGGCACGGGAGCGAGTCGCCGCTCCGTGACCGTTCGCGTTGACCGTTTGAGGAGCTAGGGTCCCACGTGTCAGCTGCTGTCTCTGGTTTGGAGCCGTTGGCACGTCTGGCTTGGCCGCTGGGGCCCGTAGGTCTGTGGAGCGCTAGCCAGCGGCCGTTTGGCCAGCTAGGTGTGTGGCTAGAAGAGGTCCGGCTGGCTAGGGGAGGATAAGGCAGTGTCTTTCCTTTCCTTCCTCTCTAACTCTCCCCTTTCCCTATAGTTGCATCCATGGTTAGGGTTCCTCTCCTCTCTCTCTCTCTCTCTCTCTTCCATGCTATGTGCAAATTTCTAAAGAAATTTTTTTGAAGAAACAGGAGGGGTCAAGGACCCTAATGAAGAATTTCTAAAGAGAGATTGAGTGGGTGTGCATGAGAGATTGAAAATCCACCTCCACCCTCTCCTCTTCCTCTCAAGCTTGGTGCTAATTTGAGAGAGGACTGAGAGACCTAAAACATCTAGACAAATTCTACATTAAAGCCGATGTTCCTCGGGTGCAATTGATTTGTGTGACTCCGTTTATAAGAACAAAGTCCCCCGCCTCGCTCCCCCCTAGAGGGCCTTTCTACTAGAAAGTTATTCTCAAATTGAGCACTATCTTCAGAGGTGCTCAATGTATCTTTGGCATTGGGGGCACAATGGGCCTTTGGGAAGACAACTTCTTAGATCAGCCTTTCTCCTCCAAGTTCTCAATTCTCTTTCAATATGCTAAGCATAGCAATATGTCTGTCCAAGTGGCACTTCACAAGGAGGATCTACTTGACATGTTTAGGGTCGCCTTTTTTGAAAGCAAACTATGGAGGGGAGAGATTCCCCACCTAGATAGTACCGATTTATCATCAATAACCTCATTTTTAGGGAACGAGACAAAAACCCTGTAGGCTCGCCATTTCTAGAGCAGGTACAATAAATTCTTGGTGTTCAAAGATGTTTTGGCTGGGTTTATGGCACCGCATCCTCTAGATAATTCTTGGTGTTACATTTGGAGCAATGCCACATAGGTCGGCCAAGTTCTACAGGCACCACTTTGCAGCTATAACTCCTCCAACTCCTTTCCTCTGTATATGGAAAGCAAAATGTATCCCAAGAATAAAGTTCAACACGTACCTGGCTCCTTTTTTATGAAAGTCAAAACGTAAGAAATGTCATGCGACGATGAAAGAAATTCTTAGAGGGATATAACTATACCATGTGCCTTGATGGAGTGGAGGAAACTTCCATGCATCTCTTCTTTGAACGCTCTACCAGTATAACCAGGTGGTTCATTCTTGGTTTACAGTGGACCGTTCACAGGAGCATGTTCTAGATGATTGCCGAACAAAGACAATCCTCACAGCTTCCTTCTTTCATGGACATTTTCATGATTGTCCTATGGTGCATTTGGAAGGAGCGCAATGCCTACATCTTTAACAACAAGATGCCAACAATGACAACATGGAAGAGCTTTTTCTCAGCTGAAGTTAAGGTTCACCTGAGTCGTATCCCAGCTCTTTTACACCCCTTAGTTATGAATTGGCCCAACTCTCTGTTTTTCAAATAATTGATTCATTAATCTAGCCTCTATATACACGAAGCGTATACAAATCCAAAACGATACGAGAGCACTTAAACTCATACCTCAATAAAGAGGATAACACACAACCAAAAAAAAGAAAAAAAAAACTATGACCACGGCAAATCCCTGCTTCCCGACATCCTCTTCTAAAATGGCCAGATTCGGCGAGTGGAAGTCTTCAAGTCGCCACCGCCTCTAGTGCGCCATCGCTACGAACCTCTGCTGGTGCCATCTTCATCCGCTTCAAGTGAGGTGACGCCACGTGTCGCCGGTTAACCCACCTTCATCCATCGTCGTCTAGTCAGAACTAGCCGATCAGACGTTCAACTCTTTGTAGCTCTTTTGTTTTGGCTCTTCTCTTTATAAATTGAAATGTTGGTTGGGCTCCTGGTAGTTCTTGTAATTAGGTAACTTCTCTTGGTTAGTCTTCCACTAACCATCCCTTCCTCTTTTATTAAAGTACTGGGTAGCTTTGCTCCATATTTTACATAGAACTTTTCATTGCCCACCGTCTACGCGCTCCATTACTGATGCTACTCCTCGAGTGAGCCTGCTTCCCCGAGCACTGATTAAATAACGAGGTATAGCTAGTATGAAGAATAATAAATAAGGATTGGAATATGACAGACAGCACCCGTCCGCTAAGATAATATTCAAACGGATTGATATCCTAGACACCTATTATATTCGTCCACGCAAGATCTTGCAGTAGTAAACAACTTGAATATAGAGACGCTGTATGCTAGGTATAGCAACCATGAAAATGAATTTTGGCATGCCAGACAGAACACCAATTGTTGTGGCATACTGGCATCCCCATCACATAAACCTGAAGAAGCTTCTCCAATTTCTGGCAATGAAAGGTGACTTAGTTATCCATCAATTGGCCACAGGTGCACCTTGGATTGATTTATTGTTGAAGCCGTGGAAGTTCATGACTATAGTATCGACGGACGTTTGGAAGTTCATACCTATAGTACTAATTGACGAGTTAATTATTACATTGTTGGACATTGCCTCCTAGCAATCAACAATTAATGGCAAATGTTAAATTGCTAATGCGGCCGTGTCACTGATGATGGATGTAGCTACATGGTACAAGACCTCACCATTTCTCTTCTGGTTTAGTCGTCGTCCCATTCCTCTCCTGTGCAGCAGCCTCATGACCTGCTGCTGGCCTTTTCTCCCGAATCAGTCAGCAAGGTTTTTCTTCCTTGTTTAAGGAAAAATGGCTTTCAGGCCACTGGATGTGTGGAACCGTTGGGCCATCCAGATCCTGCTGCTGTTGAGCCTCGGCATGCACGTCCTCCTCCTACCCCTCGCCGGAATCCGTCGGCGTCGAGCCCCAATGCTGCTTCGTGTCCCTCTGTGGCTGGCGTACCACCTGGCCGACACCATCGGGATCTATGCGATCGGGATCCTCTCCCTGAGCAGCGCGCCGCGCGAGCACCGGCTGATGCCGTTCTGGGCGCCCTTCCTCCAGCTGCACCGCGGCGGCCCCGACAGCATCGGCGCCTACGCGTTCCACGACAACCAGCTCTGTCTGCGCCACCTGCAGCTCTTCGTCGTCAAGGTCCTGGCAGTCACCTACGTCCTCTACATACTTCTCCCTAGAGGCGACACCTTCCTTGCGCTGGCCGCTCTGCTGATGTGGGCCGTCGGCGTCGCCAAGTACGGGGAGAAGGTGGCGGCGATCAGGGGCGGTAACAAGAACAGCATCCGGAGCTCGCTCACGAAGAAACCTGCCGCCGCCAGGCACCACCACGTCCACCACTGGGACCACGGCGTGCCGAACATGGGAGAAGCCCACCTGCGGCACGCGCACCACATGTTCCACTTCTGCAAGCGCGCCACCGTGGACTCCTCCTGGCTGGAGAAAGACCCCGAGCACAGCACCCTGGAGATGCTCAGGGCGCTCAGGAAGCAGGACGCCAGGGGCATCTGGGCGTTCGCGGAGCTGCAGCTCTCCCTGCTGTACGACGTCCTCTACACCAAGGCCGCCGTGATCCACACCTGGCCGGGATACCTCCTCCGCCTCGCCTCGTCTCTCGCCATCGCCGCCGCGTTCCTGCTGTTCCATTTCAGCGGCAGAGACGACGACGACGTGGTCGACGTGGTCGTCACCTACGTCTTGCTGGCAGGGGCCTTGGCAATGGAGATGGCGTCGGTGCTGAACGCGCTGGGCTCCTCGTGGACCTACGCCTTCCTGTGTACCACGCGGTGGAGCTGGCTCCGGTACGCCGCGCTGTGCACCGGAAGATGGGATCGGCTTCGTCAGCTTGTGAAGACAATACAGGGAAGATCTATCAGTGTTAGGAGGTGGTCAGGCGAGATGGGGCAGTATAACATGCTGCACTTCTGCAGCCGTCACAGAAGGGCTCACAGGCCTCTTGCAGGAAGAATGGCCATGGCGCTGGGATTCGAGTACTGGTGGAACCAGAAGCATTACTCGGCCACAGCTGACATCTCCGACGAGCTGAGGCAGGGGCTGTTCCGGTACGTGCAGAGGCTGACCGAGACGGGGCTGAACTCGCAGGGCGTGATCAGGAAGAGCTGGGATCAGGAGGCGCTTGAGAGAGAGGACAAGGGTTTGTATGAACGCATCAAACGAGACAGGAACCTCGGTGTGGAGTTCCAAGAGGGCGTCATCATCTGGCACATCGGCACCGACATCTTCCTCGCCAGATCCGGAAGCGGCATAGAAGAAGCAGCTGCTGCTGGTGACGACGATGCAGCAGCTGACCTCCTGCTGGTGGTGAGGTCCATCAGGACCCTGTCCAACTACATGATGTTCCTGCTCGTGAACCACCCAAACATGCTGCCTGGCCTTGCTCAGGGCATGGTGTACCGGTGAACCTGCGAGAACCTATCCGACAGGTGCAAGAATCAACAAGGTCATCATCTTACTAACAGAGAGATCGGTACAAAGCTCAGGGAGATGTTCTGCCTGCAGGATGGCCCTGCTAGTGTCCCTGAACAACAACTGAGCCATGTACATGAGCTTGCCAACAAGGTGTATGAGGAGATGCCTAAATACAGCCAGAGTGTCCCTCGCCTCTGCTACGCCAATGGAGTCGCGGTAGAGCTGCTCGGCAGAGTGAAGGAGAAAGGAGTCGAGGCCGTCTTGAGATTGCTCCTTGACGTGTGGATGGATTTCGTGGTGTATGAGGCCAATCGGTGCAGCCGGGAGTCCCACGCCAAGAAGCTCAGCAGTGGCGGCGGGTTGATGAGCGTTGTCTGGATTATGACAGACTTCCTTAACCAAGAAGCTTATGCACGACAGAAAGATTGAGTCTTCAATTCGGCCAGACAGCTAGCTTGTGTGTGTGTCTGTGTATAGCTGATTCAGTATCTATCCAGAACAACTGGGTCTTGTTAGAGTTAATTCCTTTCGTAGAGATATTGGTAACGAAAAAAGTTACAAATGTGAACATATTGTATGTAAAGATCCATCGAGGTTCAGCGGAAGCCTAATTTTCTGTTGTTAACCTTCTTTTATTGTCAATATAATTGTTATAATTGTTAACCATGGTCGCAATGCAATCAAGCCCACTTATTCAACTGAATCAACAACTAAAACAAGAGCTCAAACAACTAAACCGAGACTATGTTAAGGTTATGCAACAACCTCCCCCTAAGCCCGACTCGGTTTACCTTAAATAGATGATACCAATTTTGCCACGAAGCTCACTGAACCTCATGCGTCGAAGCGACTTCATCAGGACGTCGACGAGGTGCTCCTCGGTGCTCACGTGGTCCACGCAGATCTTCCATTCTCCACACATTCACGGATGAAATGAAACTTCGTGCCGATGTGCTTACTTCTATCATGGAGAACTGAATTCCTGTTGAGTGAAATTGCGGACTGATTGTCCATCTTCAGAAGCGGCGGCTAGACCTTGACGCCGGTGATGTCGCCCAACAGCTGCACGAGCCACACCGCCTGACACACTTCAGCCGTGTCTGCTATGTACTCAGCCTCGCATGTTGAGAGGGCCACCGTTCTCTGCTTCTGAGATTGCCAAGAGACTTGCATCTCGTCGAGGAAGAAGATGACTTTGTCGGTGCTCCTCCTCTCATCAATGCCCCCCACAAATCGTTGTCATTGTAGACCATCAATTCGTTGTAGCACAGGATGTGCTTGATGGAGGTGAAGTGCTCCTGCCGCTTGCCAAGGCTTCTCCATGAATCTGATCACGTAGCCCACCGCTAACGCGACATCTGGCATCGTGTGCATCAGATAGTGAAGGATGCCCACCATGTTGCAGTACATCATCACGTCGACCTCCGACGTCGTGCTCTTGGTTGAGAGCTTCAGCCGGACCTCCATCGAGGTGTGGCAGGGGTTGTAGGCTGCCATGCCCACCATGTCCAGCAGCTTCCAGGCGTACATAGCTTTCCCCAGCATGATAGCGTTCTGCCCTTGCATGACTTCGAGCCTGAGGTAGAACTACAGGAGGCCAAGGTTGCTCATTTGAAACAGACGATGCATCTGCTCCTTGAACACGTCGACGTCTGTCGGCTTCGCACCAGTGATGACCAAGTCGTCAACATAGAAGCCCACCACCACGCGCGACGCGCGGTGCCACTGGTGTACATGCCGTGCTCGCAGGCTCACTTGCAAAGTTGAGCTCACACCGGTTGTAGTCTAGCTTCACTTTCCATGCGCGTGGCGCCTGGCTGAACCCATACAGGGCTTCTTCAGCCTCAAGTCCTTCTTATCATGCCCAGCCGCGACGAAGCCTAGCGGCTACTGTACGTACACATCCTCCTTGAGCTCACCGGCCGTTTAAGAATGCCGACTTGTCATCCATGTGATGAACAAGCCAGCCCTCCTGAGCCGCCATGGCGAGTAGCATCCGCACAGACTCCATCCGCGTGATCGAGGCAAACACCTCATCATAGTCAATCCCCTGCTGCTAGACGTACCCATTGGCGACGATGTGGACCTTGTGCTAGATGGCAACGCCCTGCTCGTCATGCTTGAGCCTGTACACCCACTTCGGGCCAATGGGACATGTTGGGAGGAAGGTCGATGAGCACACATGTCTTGTTCTCCTCAATGGATACCAGCAGGCCTCACCACGGCCCTCCTTGAACATGGCCGGCTCATTGTCACCAATGGCGAGAAGTATCTCCTCATCAACCATAAAATCATGCTCCGACAAGCCGGGAATCTCCACAGGTCCAAGGGCGTTGTCTAGGGCCCTAAATCGAAGGGGAACCAAATTGTCATGGTTGTCGTCGACGTCTGGATCAACATCAGGCGGCGACAGCAACTCTACCAGCAACAATGATGCAGATGTACCTGCAGTCGCTGGAGTTGCTATCGTGACCATGTGTACACAGGCATCCCTGGGATGCACGATTAGAAATCATGTTGCATGTTCCTGTCGTTGATGGCACATCCGCCACACCTCCTTGCTCTAGTCCAGCTTGATCCCCATGATAGAGCGTCACTGCCATGATCTCAACATGGAACGGCTCTGATTCCATCGCACTGGACCTATCTCCGCTGCTCCATTTCCATGCCTTCGATTCAACAAACACCGTGTCATGCGAGATTTGCACATGCTCGGTGTTCAGGTTGTAAAACCTGTACACCTTGGACCCCGTCTCATACCTAATGAACACCATCGGTGTACACCAATCGTCCAGCTTCTTCTCGTGATGGCTCGACGCTCGACGGGACCCCACGGGCGACCTCGCGCACATCCACCGATGCCTCAAATAGAAGCTGGGCAGTGGCCAACGCCATCGCCGTGCCATGGCGGACATGGCGGACTCCATCGGTCGCCACATCGTGGAAACGTTCGGGCACGGCGCGAAGATGGTCCACCAATAACGCGGCGTAGTCCCGTATCTCCTTGGGGAAGACCGCGTTGTAGGCGTCCAGAGCCACCACACGGAGGTCTCGTAGCCTGGAAGCTCGAGCATCGAGGAGCCTTCTGTGCCTGGGCACTTCCTCACGGAGCCCCCCGAGCTCTCGCGACTCCACCTGAAGGTGACACGTGGCCTAGCTCGGCCACCAGACTCGTCCTCGTGGCTACACATCAAGACCATGCAGTCAGAATGATGGTGTATGTGTTGTCGGCGACCAAGTACTAAATAATCAAAGGGGAAGCAGCTGTTACCTTCTAGCTCTGCCCTCGCCAAGGCAGCCCCCCTGAGCTCCCCGAGTGGCATCATTTGCGGGCTCCAACATCGTATTTACATGGGCAGCCTCCGCCTGTGCCACCTCGAACAAGATGATCTCCGCAGCTCCCGTGATGACGCGCTCCTCGTTCGCCTCCCTCTGGGTGTCCTCGGTAGCCCATCTGTATCACCATCGGCGGTGTTAGACCCTAAATTATTTACTAAAACATATCATAAGTATCATGTTTATGTGTTAGTGCATGTGATAAAGTGTGTAGCTCAATTTCTTATAACTTAAAATGATCAATAAAAATGTTAAATGAAAGTTAATTCAATAGCTCATGTATATTAAGTAGGGTTGAAAACCAATTTTCATTAAGCAAAAATACTATAGAACATGTGTGTAATACTTAAATAAAGTTTGAAGTCCAAATTTTATAGATGACAGTGAAATACTTGCTGTCGAAAAATAATATTACTAGCTAATATTTTTACTAATCTAGAAATTGCAAATTGAAATCAAGTTCAGCTCAAAAACTTAGAAAATTTACAAGTTTGTCAACAACTAGACATTGCTATGTTTAGCAAATTATTTTGAGAGATTGGGTTAAGGGGTGGTGTAGTGTTATAGCTCGATTTGGTAGTCTCATATGCCATCTTGAGCATGGTAAAGATGATTTGGCTCCTGAAGCAATCGTTTAGTCGTTTTGGACGCTTTAAAATTCGTGCATGACTCGGTTTCTGGCTAGTTGGCCGCGTGGGCGTAGTCACCACGCTTTCGCGCTCAGCGTCCACCATATCGCTGGCTATCCTGCTGCCATCAGCAGAGTGACCACGGCTGCTCTGCCTAGCTATGGCTCGGTCGCCACCGCTCTCTGGCGCGAGAAGCCATCGCGCTATGCAATTCGAGCGGCTCTTGCCGCCGCCATAGCAGCCATGCTTACCGCCGCGATGATCGCCTCCACCTCATATCCATTCCTCCCTCTACATCTCTGCACCGCTGCCGGCCAAGTGCAATGCCACCTCTGCCGCGCGCACGTGGTCAGGCTCACCGTCGCCTTGTTATTAATGGCACTGCGGTGCGCGGGGCCATGTCGATCCTGAACGCGTGAGCCTGCGCGTGGGCCTCCATGTTCACTTCGACCGCATCCCGCCAAGGCGAGGACGAGCCGAGCCCACCTGCCGCATCCCGCCTCTCTCTTTCTCTCTTTCTCCCTCTGCTGCCGCCACGAGCCGCGCCATCAAATTACCCAGCGAACGATCACCTCCATTCAATTCAGTGTATCCACGGTTTTAACATCATGTCCTCTTGCTGCCCGACCCTATCTAGTCTTGAACCGTGCACGGCCAAGCTCCAATTTTGGAGTTTCCCCGTCGTCGTGCCAATAAGGCCACGTCCGGCCGTGGATGTGGACAGCCCTCCTACCATCCCTCCTAAGCCAATTCACTTGCACCACAGCATCGCCATAACTCCCTCTTCACCTTGCGCACCTTAGCCGAACCGCTACCGCCTCCCCATCATCGCTGATGCAACCGCGCCGCCGCACGGCTCGGCCGCACATGGCTAGCCTTCCTCCGTCACCCTTCGCCCCAACCGTCACCTCAGACTGGTCCATGGTAGCCTTCTAATGCTCACGAGCTAACCAATTAGGCCTATAGCTACCCCAACCCATCGAATAGTGCGCCGCCATCGCGGATGGCCACGCGCCGCTACAACCTTCCCCAGCTAGTCGTGTCACCCTACACCACCGTTTGGCGTAGCCACTCGGGTCAGAGATGGTGATCGACCCGTTAGGTGGGCCCGCGCAGGTCCCAAGTGCCCGTCGCCGAGGCGCCCGCCTGCCCTGCCATGGCCACACGTGCGTGGCGAGTTGCGGGGATGGGATGCCCAGAAAGCCATAAGTGAGAAGTTTTGAGAGAGGGGGAAATAGCGTTAGGACTTAATTGTGATTCAGGAGAAGTTCGAGGTTTCTTTTGCAAAGTCGTCGACGCGCGTGGGATTCCCCGGTGCGGGCTATCTCCGCGTGGGCCGCGCCTGTGGGCCACCGCGCATGCTGTGTCACGTGGGCCGTGCGGGAGGTTTAGTTTTTCTTTTTCATAAGGAATTAGAAATAGTTTTCTAATTTAATTTTTAAGTTGATCTTTGATAAATCATAT